AAGCACGCCCGGCGGGAGGTGAGCCGGCACGAGGCCGGGAGGAACCACGCCCGGCGGCGGACCAGCGAACCGCTGCGGACCTGCGCCAGTCACAGTGCGCCGCTCAGGTGAATAGGTAAGAAAATAAAGTAAAAGTGGGGAGTGGGGTGAGGTCAGGGCAAACCTGGTCCTCCCGGTTGAGGCCAGCCGTACGGGGGCTGGTGCGCTGCTGGCCCACCATAGGGTCCTCCTGGCGCCTGCGGCACAAACGAGCACGGGGGTGAGTAGGGAATCTTGTTTTGATCAAAAAACACTACACTACACTACGCCACGCACCAAGCGAGGGGGAGGGCCACCATAGGGAGACGGTGCAAAGGGCAGGCCAGGGTGGTGTGGAACGCCCGCGCCGGGAGGCCAGCCGTGCCCACTGATATTGTGATTTCTTACAAATTAAGAATAAATAATAATAACAATCAGCAAAAGGAGAAGGGCGGAGCATACGGCGGGGCACCACCAAACGAGGGGTCGTGAGGGCGGAAGGGCAGTCTGCCAGGACCACCACCAGGAAGAAAACCACCTCCTTGCATCGCTCCAAAAAACAAAAGAAAGAAAAAAGCGTTTTCTTTTCTTTTGTGCTTTCTTCATGCTTCGTTCGTCCAGAAGGCTGGATGGAAGGTGGGCATGGTCATCTTTAATCTGCAAGATGAACGTTGCCAAAAAGCATCTAAGAGCTACAACACTCCCAACGATGGGAGATTGAGGAGCCGCTACTCTCTCCCAGTAACGCAATGTTAATAGTCCTAAAACCTACAAAAAGGTTTAGCTCGTTCACGGTGGGGATCGAACCCACAATCTTCCGCTTAGGAGGCGGACGCCTTTCCATTGGGCCACGCGAGCCGGTGAAACCCTTCCTGCCGCTGTGTCCCGTGTTTGATGAGAGAGAGCCAGGCCGTGTGCTCTTCTTTATTGCTTGCGTTCACGGTGGGGATCGAACCCACAATCTTCCGCTTAGGAGGCGGACGCCTTTCCATTGGGCCACGCGAGCCGGTGAAACCCTTCCTGCCGCTGTGTCCCGTGTTTGATGAGAGAGAGCCAGGCCGTGTGCTCTTCTTTATTGCTTGCTCTGCTGGAGATGGAGGATGCGGCGCGTGGCTGCGCATTGGTTGGGGAAGCGCTGGAGGCCGTCGGCACGCATGGCCGGGGCGTGGTGGTCGAAGTAGTGCTGGAGGGCGGCACGGTCAGCGCACCCGTAGAGCGCCACGTAGCGCACGTAGTCAGCCGCGTCATCGCTGGTGGCCTCGTTGTCCCCCTCGAGGGCCTCCTGGCTGTAGAGCCGCGCCGAGACGAAGCAGCGCGTGGTCTCCACCATGTCGCGCATGTGGGCACGAAGCCACTCGAGGAAGGGACCCTCCACCTGCTTCTTCACGCGCAGATTAACCTCATACTCCACCGTCGCCTTCCCTGCTGCTGCCATTGTTTGTAATGCTAATGGATAAATGATGATTTATTTTAAAAATTATTCGAGATAAGAGATCAATTTATTTTTATTTGCTATTAAAATAACAGCTAAATTGAGTCCGTGACGCCGACACACGCGAACTGGCTGACTCTGGTCCTTAGTTGGAGGGCTTCTTGTAACCGCCCTTGCTGGCGGGCAGGTAAGCCCGGCGCTCGTGCAGCTCGCGCTCCAGCCACCACGTGGCACCGAGCGGCAGCCGCTTCTTGGCCTCCTCGAGATAGGCCTCGGCCTCCTCGAGCCGCGCCTTGGCCTCCTCGAGCGCCGCCTCGGCCGCCGCCTTGGCCTCCTCCGACCGCGCCCGCGCCGCCTCCGCGCTCGTCCGCGCCTGCGTCGCCTGCCGCGCCGCTTCCGTGGCCTGCTGGGCGGCCTGCTCGGCTTCAGCGCGCGCCGCCGACGCCTGTTGCGCCGCCTGCTCGGCCACCTGCGCCGCGCGGTCGGCCTTCTTCACCGCGGCCTCCTGCGTGATCTTGGCCCGACGCAGCGGCAGCGGGTCCGACGACAGGTGCTGGGCGAGCTCGTTCTTGGCCCGGTTCTTCTGCACCACGCTGCCCTCCTCGGACTGCCGCGTGAGCTCGGCCGTGCGCCCGTTGAAGGCGTCCTCCTGCGCCTTGAGCTCGTTGAGCGCCGCCTCGAGCTCGGCCTTGGCCGCCTGCAGCTCGGCATTGCGCGCCGTGGCCTCGGCGTCGGTGCGCTTGGCCTCGGCCTCGCGAGTCTTGGCCTCGTCGGCAGTGCGCGTGGCTTCGGCCTCGCGCCGCTTGGCCTCGGCCTCCTGCGCCGTCGCCGCGCGCAGCGCCTCCGACGCCTCGCGATCGCGCGCCTCGGAAGCCGCGAACGCCGCCGACACCTCGTTGAAGATCCGCTCGGCCTTCTCAATCTCCTCCTTCGAACCCTGTTCCATTCGTTCACCCCGTGTGGTGTGTGCCGTTGCGCACGTGTGTGTGCGTGTGTGTGTGTGTGTGTGTGCGGTGTGCGTGTGCGGTTGCGTGCGTGCGAGCATGCGTGTGCGGTGTGTGTGTGTGTGTGTGAGAGAGAGAGAGAGAGAGAATGTCAGTTCGGGCCACACGAGAGAGAAAGAGTGGGGGGTGTTGACCTGGGGCGCGTTGACGAGCTTGTGCCAGTCGGCGTTGTACTTGAAGGTGAGGATGTGCGTGAGCGGCACGCGCTTCACCGTGCCCACGATGGCGCCCGTCGACCGCAGCCGGTCCCTCATCGCCTGCACCGTGAGCGTCTCCTTGAAGTGTTCGAGGAACCGGTGGGCCTGGAACTCGTCGAGGTCGGAGCCCTCGGCGCGCTTGGCCTCGTCGAGCTCGATGGCCTTGTGCACGAACGACCACATCTTCTCCGCCTCCTGCGACGCAAAGTCCTGTGTTTGCGCCCCCCCCCCCCACAACAACAACATTGCGTGACACAGTCCGTTACATGAGGGGGCGGAGGGGGGACAAAAAAGAACGAAAGCGACAAAAGCGAAGACCGATCAAAAAAGATGGATGATCGAGTGACGAAGACGATAGTGTGAGCGTGAGTAAATGAGGAGGGAGTGAAGGATTAGGTGGCAGGCAGGGGCTGGATAAAAGGGGAGCGGTGTACCTCCCAAAAGGCATTGAGGAAGAAGACGGCCTGCTCCTTGTGGGTCTTGGTGACCAGGTTGTCGAGCCTTTCCTTGTCGTTCGATCCTGCGAGTCCTGACATCTTTGCTTGTACGCTCTTCCTTTGTTGCTCGGCTCTTGTTGTGGCTGTTGTCTCAAGGCTGCAATGTTGGACAAGGCCTGTCTACACAAAACAAAAAATGAAATGTGTTTGAAAATGTGCATTTTAACGATTTGAATTACAACAAAATAGATAGAAAAAAACAAAACAAAAAATTGATGGAGCGCCCAGGAGCACCCAGGCCGACGATCAGTTTGCCCAAGCGGGGGCCGAAGCAAGCGGGCACTGGGATCGGAGGACCACCAAGACAAGATTGGAGATCGGAGGGATATGAGGACGAGAGCGAACGGAAAATGGCAGAGGACGGAGATGAAGAGGAGGTGAAGGGAGCGGAGGCAGTCGAGAGTTGGTACAACGCCCTCGGACTGCCCAAGCCCTTCACTGCCCCTCGCCGACTCTCAGAGGGCGTGTGGCGGCCAGACCTGCGCCTTGTCCAGCTCACCACCAACAAGTGCGCATTTTATTTTCTATGATTATTTTCAATCTATTAACAATAATATATATGTTCATGTCATTTGTTATTGTTCAATTAAAATATATTTAAATGAAATTATAAATAAAATAAATTCCTTGTTTTGGTGCAGAGGGCAGTGGTTCAAGACGATGGGGTTCTCTCACGGGAAGGAAGAGTTCTATCACGTGGAGGAAGCCGTCTTCCTGGCCGATCAGGCTCTACTGCGCATTCTACATCACGGTACAGTTACAGTTTATCTGAGCGCCGCGCGGTTGGCTGATTGATCGCCAGTGTGGCGTGCAGACGTGGAGCTGTCGCTGGCTCAGGTGTTTCGGCTGTTGAGCGAAGGCGGCGTGCCCCTGGACCACTACATCGCCTACGCTCACCTCACTCGCCTGGGCTTCATCCTCGCTCGCACCCGCTTGCCGCTTCATGAGGGCCAATCACCAGGTACGGAGCTCCAGCTCTACCTGTCCGTGCGTGTGCGTGATGGAAGGGTAGTGGTGGTGGTGGTGGACATTGATCATGTACCGACGCTGCAGCTGCTGCAGAGGACCGGACGCCGCGCGTGCTGTTCGACGTGTGGAAGGCACAGAAGAAGGGCTTCAAGAAGAGCCAGGTGGACTCCCTTCGGCCTGACTTCCGCCTCTGCGTCGTCGGCCAGTCCGATCCACCACCATCACCGGCCCACATCAGGTACGGCCTTTCCCCGTCTAAGTCTCTTGTTGTCCACTGAACGTGGCCACAGGAACTTGCTTGAACGGTCACCCGGCGTGCCAGTGCGCTTTGGCGTCGTCGACGGAGGAGCTGTGAGCTTTGCCTCGTTTGAAACTCTTCACATTTGCTGCATCCACCACATAAAAATCATCTCAACGATTCTTGCGTAGCGCCGCCACAAGAACAAGGCATCGGGCAAAGTTGTTGAATGCACAGCGTTTACTGAGGACGATCCATTTACTGCTTGGTGGCAGCGGGGGCGGCGGCAACGGCAGCGGCAGCGGCGGCCTTCTGCTGCTTCTGAAGCACCTTCACGGCCTTCTTGTTGTGCTTCTTGGCGAACCTCTGGTTGCGGAGGAACTTGGGGTCCATCTGTGAAACAGACGGTCAGCATTTCGGCTGAGAATAATTCGTGGTGGTCGGAGGAAATGCGGCGATCCGGAATTGAGGAGTACGTACGCCCTTGGTCGAGACGTGCCTCTGGTTGGGGGCGCGCTTGATACCGTTCCTGTGGTTCTTGTGACCCTGGTTGTGAGCCGTGTGGTTCTTGGACTTGGCCATTGTCTGTAGGATCAAAGGGATGGGAATGAATCAGTACGAGGACATCGGCCATCACGATGGATGAATGGCAGATTGAACGGATGGGCACAGGGATCAAGAGGGGCCATACAAGGGAAAGTGGGCAGAGGAGAGAATGGAGAACGAAAAATTACAAATAGAAAAGGAATGGGGCGGCGTGAACGCACCTATTGATCAAGGAAGTACGCACAACCGATTACACGACGTGGGATAGAAAGGGAAGAGGAAGAAAAAAAGAAGTCGACACCAAATTGTACAAAATTTGTCTGGTTCATTTCTACACAAGGCGGTCCACGTCATTACGGTAGCATTTATTTATTCTTTTTACTTTTTCTTGGATTTATTCACATGCAAATGGAGAGGGAAGATGGTGCAGAGCAGAACAGGAAGCGATTGCGTGTCGAGCAGGAGACGACGACACAACCACAGGTTGTGGTCGCACATCGAACCCAGGGCGCCCCCGTAGCCGAGCAGCCACTCCGCCTGGACCGCAGCATTGTATGTGCCTCTCGTGCAATCAAAATAGTTTCGCCTCCTTTTGATCAATCCAAGCACTTCGGCCCTACGCCCAAAGGATTACTCTTTTTTTATCACAAATAATCAACATTCTTTCGGCTTCTACTTGGTCCGGTGCTGTAGTTTGGATTTTCGGAGATCGAGGGCGTGCTACGCAAGGTGTCCGACTTCCTCTTCATCCACGCCAAGACACCCGATATCGAGGTACGTCCACTGACGCATGCCAGCACCATTTCAATAGCGCTACTCATCCCATGCTGCACGACACCCGCACACGCACACGGCCATTTTGCTGGTGTCGCGCAGATCGAAGCCAAGTTGGGTTTCCTGCTGGACAAAGACACAAGAGAGCGCCTCTACCTGCCCATCAGCTGCGAGACAGAGGTCATCAGCAGCAATCTCACCTTCCAATCGAGCGTTCCTGCGGTGCGCGCTCCTTACACGTCTGCGTGGCCCGCGTGTCTCGTATGTGGCGTTGGTTGTGTGTCGTCGTGTCGCGTGTTGTGTCTCCTGCCCATGCTTGTGGCTAAACATCTTACGCGACATCCACAGGAACTGTTTAAATTATTTAATGACAAGCTAAACGAACGTTTCCGTGCGGCAACGCAACCGGACTACAGAGTACCCACCTTTGCCTTGTGCGTGTTGTGTCGTTGGCCGTGTGCGGTGGTGCGACGCGCGTGCCGTGTCGTATCTCACACGGGGTGGCTGGCTTGGGTTCAGGGCAAGAAGGTGACATACGCGCATTTTCGAGAGGTGGACATGTTCTACCCGGGTCAAGTGCGAGTGACGTTGGACGAAGCCGGGAACGAGAAGCGGATCATCCGTAAGAAGCGCATCAGCGACATCAACTTCCACTCCCCGCAGAGTGTCATCGACTTCCGAATCAGCGCCTCCACGTACACCCGCCCACCCTTCCCTTCGGCATTCCTCTGCATTCCTCTGAGCTGATTGTATGCGACGTGTGCGACGTGTGCGTGTGCTGAGGACAAAAAAGGGAAGAGCACGTGGAGCGGCCGCACACGAGACCGAGCCACGAGAGACAGAAGGAGCGGATCAGCTACCGGTTCGAGCTGTTCTCGTTCGACCTGACGAAGGTGGAGAAGCTCGACCGGCAGGGCACGAGCACGACCTACGAGATGGAGGTCGAACTCGCGGACATGGCCCTCGTGCGCGCCGAACGACAGAAGCTCAACAACAAACTCCCCAACGACTTTCTGGCCATCGCTACTGGTACCCACCCCACAATCGCACGCACACGCATCACCGCACACGCACACGCACACGCATCACCGCACACGCACACGCACACGCACACGCACGACTCAACATACATCGCCTACGACATGGCACGGCAATAATCCTGGACTGACTTGTGGCGTTGATTGCAGCTTTGCTAAATAACATCCACGCGTTCCTGACGATCGCCAACCAGCTACAGCTACAGCCACAGCGACACTGACCAACCAACCAACCGGCCGTGCTCCTCCTCCAACAAACACGACAAGACCCTCATACACGCACAATCTGTCAATACAACCCCCAGCATGGCTTTGTGAAATCGTGCACGACACACGACACGACACCACACGCACACACAAACACGACCGCACACGAAAGACCAGCCAATGGTGGTGGGGGTTTAATTTTTATTGGTGTGCTCCACGCTCAAAAATTGAAGCAACACAAGGCCAGTGACAAGCAGGAAACAACAACAGCAAGCCGGCGTAAAAGCAAAGATGTCAGGACTCGCAGGATCGAACGACAAGGAGAGGCTCGACAACCTGGTCACCAAGACCCACAAGGAGCAGGCCGTCTTCTTCCTCAATGCCTTTTGGGAGGTACACCGCTCCCCCCCCCACACACTCAATCTTACGCTGTCTTCGCTTTTTGATCAATTAACAATCTTCGCTTTCGTTCTTTTGCCCCCCCCCTTGGCTCATCCATATTATGTTGTTGTTGTTGTGGGGGGTGGGGGAACACAGGAGTTTGCGTCGCAGGAGGCGGAGAAGATGTGGTCGTTCGTGCACAAGGCCATCGAGCTCGACGAGGCCAAGCGCGCCGAGGGCTCCGACCTCGACGAGTTCCAGGCCCACCGGTTCCTCGAACACTTCAAGGAGACCCTCACCGTCCAGGCCATGAGGGACCGGCTGCGGTCGACGGGCGCCATCGTGGGCACGGTGAAGCGCGTGCCGCTCACGCACATCCTCACCTTCAAGTACAACGCCGACTGGCACAAGCTCGTCAACGCGCCCCAGGTCAACACCCCCACTCGCTCTTTTCTTTGATCTGACATTTTTCTCATCCAACCGCACACACCGCACCCGCATGATCGCACACGCACACGCGCCACCGCACACACACGCGGGGTGAACGAATGGAACAGGGGTCGAAGGAGGAGATTGAGAAGGCCGAGCGGATCTTCAACGAGGTGTCGGCGGCGTTCGCGGCTTCCGAGGCGCGCGATCGCGAGGCGTCGGAGGCGCTGCGCGCGGCGACGGCGCAGGAAGCCGAGGCCAAGCGGCGCGAGGCCGAAGCCACCCGGGCCGCCGACGAGGCCAAGACTCGCGAGGCCGAGGCCAAGCGCACCGAAGCCGAGGCCAAGACCCGCGACGCCGAGGCCACGGCGCGCAATGCCGAGCTGCAGGCGGCCAAGGCCGAGCTCGAGGCGGCGCTCAACGAGCTCAAGGCGCAGGAGGACGCCTTCAACGGGCGCACGGCCGAGCTCACGCGGCAGTCCGAGGAGGGCAGCGTGGTGCAGAAGAACCGGGCCAAGAACGAGCTCGCCCAGCACCTGTCGTCGGATCCGCTGCCGCTGCGTCGGGCCAAGATCACGCAGGAGGCCGCCGTAAAGAAGGCCGACCGCGCGGCGCAGGTGGCCGAGCAGGCGGCGCAACAGGCGTCGGCGGCGCGCGCCGAGGCCGAGCAGGCCGCCCAGCAGGCCTCGCAGGCGCGGGCGGCGGCCGAGGAGGCGGCGCGGCAGGCGACGCAGGCGCGGACGAGCGCGGAGGCGGCGCGGGCGCGGTCGGAGGAGGCCAAGGCGGCGGCTGAGGCGGCGCTCGAGGAGGCCAAGGCGCGGCTCGAGGAGGCCGAGGCCTATCTCGAGGAGGCCAAGAAGCGGCTGCCGCTCGGTGCCACGTGGTGGCTGGAGCGCGAGCTGCACGAGCGTCGGGCTTACCTGCCCGCCAGCAAGGGCGGTTACAAGAAGCCCTCCAACTAAAGGCACTAAGTCAGCCGTTTACATTTGTGATAAACTAAACTGATTACCAAATAAAATTAATTATTTGTTGATAAAGAAAAAAGAAGAGAAATCCCGCGGAGACCAACACGTGGCTGGGCAAGAAGTGTGAGAATTGAAAAATCAATCAAGCAAACATCAACTCTTTGACCTAGAAGATGACGTCGCGGTAAGGACTCTTCTTCATCCACCTCTTGCTTGATCTGCTCTTCTCATGCTAAGGCTTTTTCCACTCTTTAGCACAGGGGGAGGAAGCCTCTTGGGGTATGATGACTACGCTCGCCGCAAAAACGAGGAGAAGGACCGCCTCAGCGCGCAGTCTGAGGAGTGGCTCGAGCAATCCAACGATGCCCACCTCGACAAAATCGGATCAAAAATATCAGCCATTAAAGACGTACGCCCCATTTTTATTTTATTTTATATTGATTTGTCTGAATTCATACATTTGTATTTACATCAATTAACGATTGATATGTTTCTAATTTATTCGACTCGATTCGGTTCTACGTGGCAGCTTTCACTGGGCATCAAGAAGGAAATCAGAGACTCGAACACCCTGCTCGATCAGATGGAGAGCGGTGTTGCCATGACCGGTGGCATGCTCAAGGTAACGCCTTCTTTTATGGCCCACACACATCATGAGCGATGAAAGATGGGAGCCGACCGTGTACGTACGTCGTGCGGTGTTTAGGGTTCGATCGGGCGGCTGGCCGACATGACGCAAACGGCGACGAAGAAGCACATGCTCTACCTCATCGTGTTCGTGGTCGGCCTCTTCCTCACGCTCTACTACGGCGCCACCTTCTTCTGAGCTCACCTCACACGCTCGCTACCAGCTCACCTCACACCCCACGCCATCAACATAACGCGTCAACAACAACACAACACACTACACGCACACGATGCGGACGCTTCTTTGTACATATTGACACGACACGACACACACTTTCTCTCCCCTCTACATTCCGCCACACATAATCAACGCAACGCACACAAACGAAACACGTGTGGCGCTGAATAGACAAGACTCTTATTTTTCCAAACCAAACCCGCATCGTCAAGACCACGAGCACGAGCACGAACACGGTGCTCTACGAGTAGAGCAAGGCCGGGTTCTCCTTGCCGCCGCCTCCCTTCTCCAGCTCCTTCTGCGCGCAGTCCTCCACTGTGCAAGAAGAACGAAGAAAACGAAGAACGAAGAGAAAGCGAGGGTGATCAGGGCAGTGGAGGCTGGTGGTGTGAGGGTGGGGGGGGGGGCGTACGGTCGTCCATGGTGATCCGGGCGTTGTCGAGTCGGAGGGCGGCTCGCGAGGCCGCCTTGAAGCAGACGTTCTTGATGTTGCCGCCGGCGAAGGCGAACCGACCGGCCAGCTTGGCCAGGTCGACGTCGGGCGCCAACGGCGCGTTGGGCGGCAGATGAATCCTCCACAACTACGCAACAAAATTACATCAGCCCACAACACACGATACGCACACGACACCATCGCACACAAAACACACGCACGACCGCACACGCACACGCACATATGACGCAAAAGTACCTTCTCGCGCAGCTTGACGTCGGGCGTGGGAAATTCGACCATGAAGCGGAGGCGGCGGTGGAAGGCCGAGTCCAGCGTGGGCATCAGGTTGGTCGTCAGGATCACGATCTGCGCACCCGCGGCGGTGAGTGGCCGCTCGCCCAGGCGAAGCGCGCGGGGGAGGGGGTGGAGGGGGGCGAAGGTACCCCCGGGAAGCGTTCGAGGTGGTAGAGGAGCAGGCCGACGTCCAGGTTGGCGTAGCGGTCGGTCGACGAATCCTGCTTGTCCGATCGGGCGCCGAACAGCGACTCGGCTTCGTCGAAGACCTACGCACACGATGGGTCAGCGCAGACCTAGCGTCACCTCCGTGCGTGTGCGTGTGCGTGTGTGTGTGTGCGTGTGTGCGTGTGTGCGTGTGTGCGTGTGCGTGTGCGTGGATACCAGGATGGCGTCGAGGGTGCGCGCTTCCTTGAAGACGTATTCGATGTTCTTGGCGGTCTCGCCCACGTACTTGCTCACCAGCTCGGCGCAGTTGATCACCTTCAGCGGCTTGCCCGTCTCAAAACTGCGAATAATAATAATAAAGGCGACCACAAATCTCAGCGAATGGAACACACACACACGCACGCACACGCGCACACGCACCCACACGCATACACGCACACACGCACACACGCACAGACACACACCAACATAGAGAGGAGGTACCCGACGGCCTCGGCAGCGAGGGTCTTGCCCACACCGGGCAGACCGTAGAAGAGCGCAGTGGTGCCCTGGTCGTAGCACATCTTCTCCGAATAACTGCCGGGCACACCCAAACAAACAGTCAATACACCACCGCAGGCGTGTGCGTGTGCGTGTCGTGCGGTGTCGCGTTGCGTTGCGTTGCGTACCCCCATTGACCGAACAGCACCTGGCGGGCCTTCTCGAAGTTGATGATCTCCTGCAGCTGCTTGACGACTGCGTCGTCGGCGATGATGTCTTCGATGCCCCGCGTCGGCACGACTGCGCAAGCGCACGCAGGCGCGTCAGTCACTGCCGACCTGGTGCAAAGAAAGAGCCAAAATAAAATAAAATAAAATAAAATAAATTTGGTACCTCGGCGATCAAAGTCGACCATGCCCAGCCGCCCGCGCAACTGCAGCCGCGAGCCTCTCTCGAGGTCCTCGTGCTTGATCACCGGATTCTCCTACACGTGTCACCAGCGACACGACACACGACACACGACACACGCGACACACGCGACACGACACACGACACGACACAGAAATGAGCAGGCGCGTGTGTGCAGGGCATAGGAATAGGATGTGAGGTGGTGCGCACCTTGTCCCTGTTGACGGCCGACGACAGCGCGGAGAGCACGGCGTTCTTGATGAAGCCGCCCGTCAGCTCGTACTTCATGGCCAGCGCCTTCCAGTCGATGTCATCCGCCAGCTGCAAGAGAAAGGGGCCATCGAAGAGGGGGAGGAATGAGTAAACCTTGTGTGCGTGTGTCGTGTCGTGTCGTGTCGTGTCGTGTCGTGTCTGGTGTGTACCGTGAGGCCGGATGGCACATGCGCCCGCCAGATCTTCTGACGCAAGACCGGGTCGGGTTGCCTGAACTCGATCGCCAACGTCACACGGCGATGCATGGCCTGTGTGTCGTGTGTGATCGAGCAAACATATATTTAATTAATAATTGAAATAAATAAAATAAGAGATCGCCCGAGTAGCTTCGATTCGTGGGGTGCGGGGGGGGAGAGGGCATTTCACGTACCTCGTCCAGGTCGAACGCCCGGTTGGTCGCCTGGGGGTGGAATGTGAGGAATTTCTTGATTGAAGGGAATGTGGGGCACGGGGGGTACCATGATGATGAGGCCGTCGTGACGCTCGATCTCGGTCAGCAGCAGGTTGACCTCGTTGCCGCCCTTGTCGCGCGACAGGAAGATCTGCTCGCACTCATCGAAGAACAAGATCGAGTCCCTGCGCGTTCACATAACAACCGATCAACGAGTGTCATTGTCGTGTGTCGTGTGTCGTGTGTCGTGTCGGTGTCGTGTGTCGTGTCCGGTGTCGTGTCGTACGTGAGCTTGGCCTCGCGGAAGATGAATTTGATCACTTCGTCGGCTTGGTTGCCGCCGAGCGAGGTGAAGTTGATCAGGAGGATGCGCTTGCCCAGCTTGTTGCCCAACGCGTTGGCCATCATCGTCTTGCCCGTGCCCGAGGTGCCTATATTATTATTATTATTATAATTATTATATAATTTAGAAATATATATATTTAGAAATATAAACACAACAATGACAGACAATTAGTAAATAAATGACACTTGCTTGCGGTGGCAATGAAGAAATAAGTCGGGTGAGCCATGCGGTGTACCGTAGAAGAGCAGGAGGATGCCGTTGCCGTAGGTGATGGTCTCCTCGAAGCCCAGATCCTTCCTGAACTTCTTGTAGCATTCGAATCCTGCAGGCGCGATCGTTGTCGAGTTCGCATGCGTGTGAGTGAACGGCAACTTGGGCACGCACGCGCGCGCGCAGCGGTACCTTCGACCGTCTCGAGGATGAGCTTCTTCGAGTCGTCAGGCAGTACGACCTGATCCATCTTCACCTTGGGGTAGTAGCTGCAGGCCACAGCCATTCCACAACGAATGAGAAATCAGAAATCAATATGTGGTACACATCATTCAAAAGATAAATAGAAACAAATGTAAATACCTGTGCGAGCCCTCGACGAGTTCGCTGAACTCGGTGTCGAGGCCGACGATGAAATCGAGCATGCGCCGGT